AACATAGCTAAAAGTTTTAGTTTAATACTATTTTGAGTGATGTGTCAATAATTATTATTATTTAATAATAATTAGTTTCGGCCCATCCAATCTCAAAATCCTGGCTCCGGCCCTGTATCAGAGCCTTCTATAACCTTAAGCTCTACTATTCGAACCCCTGGTGACCACATCTGTTAAACACATGGTTGGTATTACGATGTTAGTGCAAACTTCATATACCCTTTCAAGTTGGCTTATAATTCGTAAATTCACTTTGATATAAAGCATATAGTATTTTGACCTGTACAAACTTTTCAAACTCACATGAGTTGATTTTCGTCCGACAAGGGGTAGGAATCGCCATCGTCCGCACCGACCTAGCAGTAACAGAGGAACGCCTGACATCGCCGGCCGACGACCTCATGCAACTTCCGGCAATAATGCTTCCGTTCAGCGGGATGAGTTCTGTATTAACAATTGCTACAATTTGCAGTGTGCTCGGAATTTCCAGTGTGAAAATGGATACCACATAGATTGCAACTGTAGTGCATGCATGTGCTATCCCGATATTGCTTCATAGAGAGGCAATTTCCCCTTGATTCCAGCTGAGATGAGGCCAATAGCAGTTTGCGAGCAAGCGTGTGGGAGGAGCTAGGTTTCTAGTAAAATAAATTGTTATAAGCGAAATCTCTATAATTATGAGTTTTTTTTTTCAACTGTAATTCGCGAATAAAAATGGTTTCAATTTTGACAACTTCAGTGGTACCTGACGTCCTGTTCAAACTGTGATATGTTTACCTCAATTGTGAAATTTAAATGGTATGTGGTAGGGCTGGCTATTTGGACCGGGACCGGATGAAAAACCGGAAACCGGACCGTATAACCCGGACCGAGACCGGACCGGGACCGGATAGTAAACAATCCAATCCAATCTTTGGGCTTAGATTTGAGGTAAAAAACCGGATAAAGACCGGATAAGAGAGCTCAACACCCAAAACTTAAGCGTAATTTGCATAAACGGTCACAAACCTTTACACTTAGTACAAAACTTAACCAACTCCTCACCCTTTTAGGCCTTAGGCCACTCAAATTCCCACAATCTCAATATAAAATCAAGACCGAATTGGGACCGGACCGGGTCAAGACCGGATCGGATCAAGACCGGACTGTATCCAATCCAATCTTCGGTCCTTATATTCTCAAAAAAACCGGACTGGACCGGATCAATTTGGGCCAATTTAACCGGACCGGACCGTATAGCCACCCCTAGTATGTGGGGTATTTGCCCCTAAAAATGGACCAGAAAAACCCGCCCAAATCGATACTTAATAGACTTATTTATCGGTGAAGAATAGCCTCAGGCCAAATTCGTGATCTGTAGTCTTTAAAATACAATGAAAATCGCATTTCAAACAAATGCCCAAAAAATCAAGAAAACGCCCTCCGAAAAAATTATGCCCAAATCAGCGATAAATAGACTTCATCATTGGTGGAGAACAGGCTCAAGACGAATTCGTGATCTGTAGCTTTCCAAAAAAACTACATGAAATCTATGATAGTACCCCTTTTGGAATCTGTCAAAAATTGACCAGAAAAAATCCATCAATATCGGTGCTTAATAGATTTAATCATCGGCGAAGAATATCCTTATGCAAAATCCGTGATCAGTAGCTTTCAAAATTCAAGGAAAATGGACTTTGAAAAAATTTCCTAAAAAATTATGAAAACGCCCTCTGAAAAAATTCCTCCTAAATTGGCAATAAATAGACTTCATCATCGATGGAACAGCCTCGGGCAGAATCCGTGATCTGTAACATTCAAAATTCAAGGGAAAGGGGCTTTCGAAAAAATCGCGTGAAATCTGTGATGGTACGTACCCCTTTGACATCTGCCAGAAATGAACCCCGAAAAATCCGCCTAAATCGGTGCTAAATAGACTTAATCATCAGTGAAGAATAGGCTAAGGCAAAATCCGTGATTAGTAGCCTTCAAAATCCAAGAGAAATGTCTTTCTGAAACAAATCACTCAAAAAATTACGAAAGTGCCCTCCGTAAAATTTCCCTCAAATCCAATAAATGAACTTCATCATCGGTGGAGAACAGCCCCAGGCCAAATCCATGATCTGTAACCTTCAAAATCCAAGTAAAATGGGCTTTGAAAAAAATCGTCTGAAATCTGTGATGGTGCCTATTTGGAATCTTTCAAAAAAGGATCCGGAAAAAAATCCGCCAAAATCAGTTCTTAATAGACTTATCATCGCTGAAGAATAGCCTCGGGCCGAATCCGTGATCTATATCCTTCAAAATCCAAGGAAAATGACATGTTGAAAAAATTCGCCCAAATAATTACGAAAACGCCCTCGAAATCATTACGAAAACGCCCTCTGAAGAATAGCCTCATGTCGAATCCGTGATCTATATCCTTCATCACCGGTGGAGAACAGTCTCAGTCCGAATCCATCTGTATCCTTCAAAATTCAAGGAAAATGAATTTTCGCCCGAAAATTTGTGATCGTATATACCCCTTTAGAAATGTCAAAAATAGACCCGGGAAAAAAAAACTCCATTTCTACTTGTCATAGAACACATTTGAGAATCGCGAGTTCAGTGTAATTGTTGTTACTACTTCGAAGCCATTGTCATCGGGTGAAACTCTTCCTACGTAATTGAAGAGTAGAAGCTGAGTCATAGATTTTGTCCATGCCCAACAGTCGTGCAGTCTTAGAGCTGCAAATGAGCCGAAACGAGTCGAGTTTTATCTCAATTTAAACTTGGCTCGTTTAATGCTCTCCTAAATGATTTTTTTTATGGTGTTTAGCTCACTAGTTCTGTTTTGTGGTGTCCCTCAGGTTCCTTGTCGCTAAGGATTCATTGCCTGCATTTGGGGTGGCGCTCTATTGTATGTAGTCTTTACTTTAGATCTTCTGTACATCGCCACAATGCGCATCACACCTCGTAGGTACAAATCGCTACTCATATCGTGGCAAAATATGTCATTTTATTGTTGGCTCAGCTTCTAGTTGATCGATTCTCTTTTTTTTTAACTATTGACCTGCAAATGTCTTGTATGTTATTGTATATATAGTTGTTTATTTCCAAATTATCTTTGGCCAAAAAAGAAAATTATAGGTAAATTTATATGTATTTTCTATGAAAAAACTTTATCTTTGAGGTGCCAAAAACCGTTTGGTTCACAAGGCCATGTATATATCATACCGTGCTTGGACCCATAAAGTCGAAGCACGAAACCACCCATAAAATACCCGTGCTCATGTCGAACCGACATTTAAATGTCACATCCATGCTTCATGTATAGTGCCCTAACCGTATCATGCTAGTCCGTCAGCAACCCAACCTTATATCAAGCACAATTTCTGAACTAGTAAGCACGTAGTCAAAATAAGGAACCGTTCATGATGCGATTTGGAAGAAATTTCCAAACTTTTTCCTTTTTTTTTTGTCAAGAGAAAACGTCCAAACTAATTGTCCATTAATTGTCGACCATAACTCTCTTTTCTATAGTTCCCAACAACAAAGAAAAACTCAAATATTCTACACAAAAAACAACTCAAATACGATAAGCTTCAATTTTCCAAAATTATATGGCTAATAAGAAGAGTTAATTTAGAGGTCTTCCCGTTTTGATTCCTTCTCGGGGGCTGCCATGTCCTAATAATGTGAATGGTTTAATTAATCAATAAGAGGAATTTCAGTTCATCCAAACAATACCATTATTAATGAATTATATATATGAAGAGATCCAAGTCTTGATCATATTATTGTATATATGGTCCAACTCTGCATCATTTCCCTATTTCGTAATGAAATCAGGTTTCGTCAAAAATACCTACCTAGCAGTGCTCAACATCCAACTTAGCTTCAAGAACACACAGCCATGACGATGATTCCCAGGATCACAAAGTTGGCCATCTTGCTTCCCTTCATATCATGGATGCACGCAGGCCTTCTTCCTTCGAGCGAATCCGCCAGATCGATTGCACCAACAATGGCTCCTCCCAATTCTAGCAGCACAGATGATCATCAGATCGATTTCAGGTACGATTCATAATCAAACCACTCCAGGTTATTGTGATCAACTAGTTCTTGATCAAATGTGATACCAGAGCATTGTGTATTAATAAAGAGGTCTTATGTTCTAATAATCTCTTGTAACCACATTTGTTATAAGCACATGCTGTTATTATATAATAATAAGTTGGCTTTCGTTTGACGCGCGCGGGGGACAGGAACGGAGGAACGCCTGACGTGGCCGGCCGACGACCTCACAAAACTTCCAGCAGCAATGCTTCCGTTCAGCCAGAGACCTGTGATGATATTTGCTACAGAACACAGTGCGGAGGGACTGACGCTAATAATGCGTGTGGCGTCGGAGACTACATGGCTTGCTTCTGTGGATCATGCATGTGCTATCCCATTGATTCATAGAGACAATGTTTTTCACAGTTTAATTAATTCCCTGAGATGATGATGAGTACAATTAAAAACACAGTTTGCGAGCAAGCTTGTGGAAGAAGCTAGGTTTAGTGAAATAATTGTTGCAAGAGGAAATCTTTATAGCTACCAGCTTTTCGATTATAACATGCATGTCTTATCAGAAATAAACATGGTTCATGACGTTGTCTTTAATTTTGTATACGAGCCTGCTTTTTTTCTTCTTTTTTTTATTGGTTGTTGTGTCATTTAGGGTAATTATCATAAATGGTCACAAATCTATTCACTTTGTACAAAATGGTCACAAATCTTTAATTTTGCACGTTTCAGACTTTCAGTAACATAAGTTTGAGCGAATAACAAAAAGGTCAATCCGTCCACTTCCGTCCAAAATTCTGTTACTTTTGCCCAATCAGCATGACACATCATTAAAGTTATTCATAAAAAAATAATTTAATCATTCTAATTAACCGAACAACCCTAACCGGTTCACTAGCTCTGCACTTAACCAACCGTACGCTAGCCTGCCCAACAGAAACTTTATCCCTCACACTTCCCTTTCTTTCATCTCATGAACTTTTCAAAGTCAAGCACGCCGTCGAGATTCGTATCATAGGGCGAAATCTTCCGACGGCAGCCTTCCCGGTGGTCTCACTCTCAATCCACAACACTAATCTCGAGAGCACTTTCTGGAGCTCCTTGCTCGTTATGAACCCGTTGTCGTTTATGTAGAACACTCTGAATGCCTCTTCCAAATCCTTCTCCACCACCGCTACGGAAGCCCATGACTCCTCGCCGCCGCCGTCCTCGATCGAGCCGTAGAAGGACAGAAACTCGTCGAAGTAGAGGGTGGACAGAAACTCGTTATGAACTCGAGCTCGTCATTGGTAAAGTAGAGGGATCCGATTCAATCGAGGAGCAGCTGAGCTCGTCGATGCTGAGCAGCCTCCGCCGTTGCGGTCAAGCTGGTGGAAGGTCCGGCGCAGGACGCTGGCGTTGAGCCCCGGCATCATGATTAGGTCGCGGCGGAAGGGATTGGTGGGAAGGTTGAGCAAAATTGAAATTGTGGATCTGCGGGGTTTTCCAGATTCGGGTCTTTAAAATGTGTTTTAGAGAAAAAGATTTGATTTGGGGAATTGAATTTGAGGCTGGAGGGGAGAAGAAATTGTGATTATAGGGATTTCAGAGAGCAAGTTGCGGGACGGCGGTGGAGGGTTCTGCAAGAAATTCACAGTAGAATGGCGACATGTTTGGAGAGATGGTGGCGGAGAGGAAGGGTTAGGTTGGATTTAGGGGTGGCTATACGGTCCGGTCTGGTTAAATTGGCCCAAATTGATCCGGTTCAGTCCGGGTTTTTTGAAAATATAAGGACCGAAGATTGGATTGGATACAGTCCGGTCTTGATTCGGTCCGGTCCCAATTCGGTCTTGATTTTATATTGAGATTGTGGGAATTTGAGTGGCCTAAGGCCTAAAAGGGTGAGGAGTTGGTTAAGTTTTGTACTAAGTGCAAAGGTTTGTGACCGTTTATGCAAATTACCCTTAAGTTTTGGGTGTTGAGCTCTCTTATCCGGTCTTTATCCGGTTTTTTACCTCAAATCTAAGCCCAAAGATTGGATTGGATTGTTCACTATCCGGTCCCGGTCCGATCTCGGTCCGGGTTATACGGTCCGGTTTCCGGTTTTTCATCCGGTCCCGGTCCAAATAGCCAGCCCTAGTTGGATTGAGTGTTTGGGTTGGTTAGGAGGTTTAATTGCTTTGGGCTTTTATTACTTTATTAATTTTTTCGATGACATGGAAGGCTGATTAGATCAAATTAACAGATTTTTGGACGGAGAATGACGGAATGATGATTTTGATATACGCTAAAACATATGTTACCGTTTCGTTACAAATTAAAGATTTGTGACCGTTTTGTACTAAGTGTAAAGGTTTATGACCATTTATGATAATTACCCTCGTCATTTATTATCATCCGGTTCGTCTCAAAACGGTTATAATGTTCAACTGTATTACTTACGATGGGAAAAATGAATTCATATGGAACTAAAAATGAATTCATAATGTTCAACTGTTATAATGTTCAACGGTTATAATGTTCAACTGTATTACAAAACGGTTATAAATCGGACCGCACAGTTTGGCCCGGACCGTAGACCGTTAAGTATGGTCTATATTTGTTGATGCCGCGATACTCTCTCACCCACGAGACTCTTCCAACTGCTCCACGCCTAGCGCTTGGACCCTACAGGACGGGCGCCGGGAGGGCTAGACCCGTCCATTAGCACTCCAACGATCAAGTCAGGAGCTATTCTAGAGAGAGAAGTGAAGAAAGAAGTTTAGTGTGAGAAAGACCGACCTCCTTCAATGCTACCTACCAAGTGCTATTTATACTACTCGGGCTCCTCGACCAAGCTCCGACCAACTCCTGCCACCAAGCCTTACGTCAGCCTAGCATTAAATGCCTGGTCTCCCCTGGCGCCTACGCGCCTACACGTGGCACACTGTCCGTTTTCCACGTCGGGGCGCATAGGGGGACCACTGGCCTCGTGGCGCCCTTCCGGCCTTGTCCACCTGTACTTCCTTGTCTGCGAGTCTATTTTGTCGTCATGCGCCTCTAATCCTTTATAGCCACCTAGGTCATGCCCCCATAGGCCATAGATGGGCTTTAAGCCCAACAGGCTCCTAACTCTCATGAGCTCCTCTCTACTACCACAACAATTGCCCCCCCAGTTAGGTGTTCACTGGTGAGCGCCTAACTATGTTCCTGGCTTTCGTGAGGCTTTGTGTCACCATGAGAGCGCCCGACTTGGCTTCGCACAAGCTCATGCGCCTCTATTCCAAACTATGCGCTTTCGGTATTTGTTTCACGTTGCCCCCCTCTCATCACTAAAGCGATCTTCTGCTTTTTCAACCGGTCCTCATCATTCTGCCCATGAGGGTGCCTGACTTTGCTTCGCACGAGCCCATGCGCCTTTTATACTTTCACCTGATCAATCATTAAGACGCCTGCTCACATCTCGGTTTGGGCGCGCAAAAAACTAGAAGGCTCCCAACCGTGCTTCCATTTGCGTTTGAACAAACAACGAGGCGCACGACCGTACCTTCCGCCCCCCGCTCGCCGTGCGTTCAAAATTTGAATTTCAAAATCCCAATTTCAAAATTCAAATTTTGAATGGAGGGCGAGGATTGGTCCGTTCGGCGTGCGCACATCTCGAGGCGACTCTTCACCTCCCTTCCCTTATATAAATATACACCTCCCTCTCCTTCTTACTTCATTCGTCCCAATTTACCTTCTCTCTCTAGCTTCTCTCTCTACCTGCTCTGTCTCTCTTTCGTTCACGCGCCTGTCGCATCTTTGTCCGTGCGCTTGTCTTCGTTCGCCATCATGTCTCAATCCGATTCAGGCGCCACCCACAACGCCTCCGAGAAGGATGGGAGCACGGCGCCCAGCGTACTCGACGTGCTCGAAAAACATCTGTCGCCCGACCCGTTACGAAATCAAGACCAACGAGCGTCTCGCTCCAATAAGGAGGCGCCCAAGAAAACGGCTAGCGCCCCTTCAGCTTCCGCGCCTGTAGTAACAGAAACGCCCACATCGGCTAAACAAGCCCCGAATGCGCCTGGAGATACAGAGGCGCCTTCTGAGTCCGCGCCCACGGGTTCTACAACTAACCAAGGTAATTTCCCTATGCCCCCCTGACTTCCAACCCTTCGATTTTACATTGCTCCTTTGCTAGGCGCCCATTAGCAATCTTAGGTCCGTGTCATTGACCGAGGGCGATTGGATAACTTTTAGACTCCGCGCCTACCTCGGACTCCGCGCCTACTTCGTCAGTGTCGGGTGAGGCGCAGAATTCACCGGCCTCCACCAACTCAGGCGCCTCTACAGATGGGTCGTTCAAGATAGTTGATTGGGCCGATACTTGGCCACAGGGGGGGGCGCCTGAAAGTACCAGCAGTCTTTCCGTGACTCGAGCCTGGCCAAATCACGTGGCCACCGTCAAACTAGCAGAGTTGCACCGGCTGATAACATCGTGCAACTTGCCCCGAAGTTGGTCTTATGCGCCTGCCTCGCGGGTTACCAGGGTAGGCGTTGTGGGTCCGCGCTGGATTGGGATCTATCGAGAGTATTTTAAGTTCGGGTTGCGCTTTCCCTTGGATTCAATCTTAGAGGGAATTCTGGAGACATGCGCATGTCCTATTGGGCGCCTGTCGCCGTCGGTCTTCCTGATACACGTTTTATTCAAGCTGAAATGCCGTCAGAACAACATCTCTCCAACATTCAAGCTCTTCAAGCACTTCTTTACGATGACAAGTAGTAAGAACTGCTTATCTCTACAGAGGCGCCTGGACATTCCGGGACATTTCGTGGAGGATTGCCCAAAGTTGGGGCGTTCTTGGTATAGATCCTATTTCTTTATCAAGCCGCACGCGGACTCCTTCTATGAGAGTGGCGGCCAGTTTACCCGGCGTTGGAGGGTTGGTAATACTTCCCGCTTTAATGTTGACGAGGCGCTAACCAGAGAGGAGGAGGAGCATGCGCGCCTGCTGTCCCTGCACCCCGTCAACTTGAGTTCCACAGCCGCTCGTACCCCTGTGTTGCATGAGTATTACGCAGACGGTGGGTAGGCGCATAGTGTAGTGTTTGCGACGCCGCTGGTTAATGCGCCTGTGCTATATATATATGACTAACTTTATTTTAACTATGTTGTGTATCCTCCTTTTCAGGCGTGGACTTCACCTCCGTGGCCTCCTTGATGAAAACCCAGCTGGAGAATATGGGTTTAGACTACCAAGCGCCTGTTTTCCCAGTCCAGGGCGCCTCCAAGAAGAAGGGCGCCTCCAAGAAAGGAAAGGGGAGACCCGCCCCAACACAAGCAAGGACCGGAAGCAAAACCAATGCGCCTAGTGCTCCGGCCAGCGGAGGAAAGGGGCGCTCGAGTCCTCGAAGAATTAAGCCACAGAAAGTGGCTAACGCTCCGGAAGAGAATGCGCCTGTCGATGCGCAACCTGAGGAGGGGGCGCCTCTTGTTGTGCAGTCCAATCCCGAGCTGGACATTGATGAAGTCCCCCTGTCGAGCAAGCTCAAAAGGAAGGCTGATGATGGCGCATCGACGCACGGCAAGAAGCAGCGCACGGGAGAGGAGGCGCCGGTCCACCCCTTTGTGGAAAAGTGGTTGCAACCGCCAAAACACAAGGTCATCGTGGAATGCTCGGATAGGTCTGCGTTGGAGCGAGGCTCGGCGCTCGGTTTCGCTTTCCGCGCCGCCGAAGTACTGCGAGCGCCCTCGAGTGTTGGGGGGAGGAATCTCTGGGAAGAAGTGGCGCGCATAGCGGCTGAGGTATGACAAGCGCTTTCTAAATTAATTTACGGAATGCGTTAGGGTGGATACTAGTTTTTTAGTAACCATTGTGGCTACCTATATCTAAACCCTTCATTAGCTCTATTTTTCCTTTTTTTAAAATGACGGTCAAGATTAAATTAAGGATAGTTTGGGAATCAAAATATGATCACACCAGATTATTAGCTATATTTATAACCTACCTTTTCCAACCCTACCTCTACCCTCTCCACCCCTCCCACCGTCCGCCTCCCTCACCCTCCCGCCGCCCTCACCCTCCCTCTGCCCACCTCACCTCCCACCCCACCTCCGCCCACCTCATCCCCTCCCCCCACCTCCGCCCACCTCCACCCGCCCTCCCCTCTCTTCCACTCTCTCCCCCCATACCCAATTTATTTTTTCACCTCCGCCCACCTCATCCACCTCCCCCCACCTCCGTCCGCCTCCCTCACCCTCCCGTCGAGCTCGAAGACCGAGGCCGGAATCGAGAGCAGCTCCCCGCCGACGCTCATCCCGCTCAGGGCGACGTAGTAGAACGTATCGACCTTCCTGCTCTTCATCAGATTCGCCGTCACGGAGTCGGCGGGGAAGGCGGAATTGAAGTCTAGGGTTGCGGAAGAGGTGGAATCGCGGTTGATGAGGCAGTAGGAGAACGAGGAGGAATGGTATGTTTTTTTTTCTAAAATGGTAGTCATTTTTTTTCAGTAGTGATTTTTTTAAAATGGTAGTCATTTTTTTCGTAGTGGTAGTGTTATTGTCGTATTGGTGTAGTTTTTGTCGCATTGGTATTATTTTTGTCGCATTGGTATTGATTTTGTTACATTGGTATTGATTTTGTCGCATTGGTAGTGATTAAATCTGCAATGGTATTGATGTTTTGTGAAATGGTAGTGTTTTTATTTCTTGAATGGTATTGATGTTTTGTGAAATGGTAGTGTTTTTATTTCTTGAATGGTAGTTTTCGTGTAATAGTATAAATTTATTTCTGCAATGGTAGTTTTCGTGTAATGGTATAGATTTATTTCTGCAATGGTATTGATATTTTTCAAAGTGGTAGTGTTTGTCTAATGGATTGGTACTGATTTCGTTTCTGCAGCAGGGCAGCATGTTCAAGTGAACATTCTGGAAGATTGAACCGTTGGATCGTCCTGAAATTTGGGCAGTGGGTTCGCATTTGTTTGGGCTTCATTCTAACTGGAGGGATCGTTATTCTGAGGCCTAGTTCGTTGGGAATAGCTGCTGGACAGAAGGTGTAAGAATCTGTTTTTGGGTACCTCTCAACCTTTCTTTGTCTTGCTCTTGTTCTTGTTATCCACCATGTTGGTGAGAGCTATTGAGCTAGAGAGGACTTGTAATCCCACCAAAGTCTAGTGGAGTTGTGGCTTGGACAAAGGTTCCGTGGTTTTTCCCGATTTGGGTTTTCCACGTAAAAATCGTGTGTCTTGTGCATTCTATTCTTGCTTGTGGTTGCTGCCCAGTTTCTCAACATATTACCCACGCGGGCACTCAGAAAACTACGAATATTGGAATGAGGTCTCAAAATCTCTCCCTCCATGAATTTGAGGTGCATATGCATGTGAACATTTGGAATTATAATTCAATGAGAGATAGGTTAGCAGCTTTGTCTCATGTATTTGCAGAGACTGGTCAAACAGTTCTCTCCTTCGAGAGAGAGAATGATAGAAATCTAGTCATTCGGATTTCTAATATTCGTTTCATTATGATACAAGTAATCGAGGATTGGATATTTTGTTGTTACAGAGTCAATTCTACTACTTTCAGGGGTTTTGGGAATATATATAAAAGAGTTTATTAGCTAGGGCTCTTGTTTCATTGAAGAAAGACAGCTTTATGCTTTGAAGTTGCAGCCGTCGACAATGGCTATGCATATCATGTAATTGGATGGAAGCTGATGTTTGTTAGCACAAGTTTACGATTCAAAAAACTCTCTTCATTGAAACAAGAGCCCTAGCTAATTAACTCTCTTTCTCTTGATCATATTAATATATAAAAGCCTTAGATGTGTCCACTGTTCATTAGTGGCGCCCACTCTCTCCTCTGCGACTGGTGGAGTTCTAAGACTTAACTCTGCATTGGGCCACATGCCTCCCCTTCTCCTCTCACACCCAAAAAAAAAACCACCCTTTTACCCCACTCGCTTCCTTTGTCCGCCGGAAATCGCCTTTGTCCGCCGGATTTTTCAGGCGCAAACTGCTCTCCCCTTCCCTCTGAAGTCTGAATCAACCTACTCTCTGCTACGCTTTGTCATTCGCCTTGCGACCTGTCTTCTCCACCTCGAAATTTTTTCCCTTCCCTTCTCCATTCTTGCACGCTACCAATGACGCAGAAAGCTGCCATACTCCTTCGAACTCGCCACAGAGACAAGCATGCTTCCTCTGCTTTCATTCCTCCCAAAAAAACTTCCTTTACAACGCTTCCCATACCAGTTCGTCGCTTTACTCTCCCCTTCCTAACCCCTGTACGCCAATTCCAAGCTAGGGTTTGCCATGCCGCGCGCCACCGCCAAACGCCGTGGCCGCCGCTCCAGTCCGCCACCTGCCGACCCTCCTCCCCACTCACCAGCCGCCGGCCCTGCCCCACGTCGTCACCGAACCACCAGAACAGCAGCCGGCCCTGCTACCACAACGGCAGACCCGGCACCTGGCACTTCACACACCCTCGCTAATCGCAGTGCTCGGCGCTCCAACACCCACCCGACCCCAACAGCTGCCGTCCCGCCTCCCACCTCCTCCCGCGGCGCCAGTCGCCGACGTGACGGCCGCGTTCCCCAATCACCGCCCCCATCCCCTCAAGACCAAGAACCCGGCTCGCCGCGATGGAACACTCACAAGTTCCTACTCGACGTTACCGACGTTGACAGGGCTATTGCGCTCAAACTTCGCCTCTTGCATGTTTGGAATTCCTATGCGGCTTCTGATCCAACCAAACTCTTCAACTACTGCACCCTTTGGTGCGATGCAATGGTAAACTCAGACCCGCTAACCTTACTCTGCCTACCTGCTTTCTTTCTTGACGTTCTTCTGCCGTTTTGCAGGGCACACTGATTCATGGGGAGGCCCCCATCACTCTTGCAAGGGAATTTTCTGATCTCATAACAGTAGGCAAGATCTACGTCGTTTGGGGATTCGACCTGCAACCGCCACGCCCTGTGTGTAAGCCATGCTCACACCACCTCCAGATGGTTTTCTCCCGCAGCTCAACCTTCGACGACCAGACTGAATCCTCGCCTGCTTTTTGGGATGACTCCTTTGAATTCGTTCCATTCGGTTCGCTGCACCCACGCACCCTCAAGGGTTCCCAGCTTACAGGTCTTTATCCGCCCTTGCCTTCTTAGCTTTCCATATGCTCTTGCTAATTTTTACATGTTTTTTCCTTGCTGCAGATGTAATAGGCAGGGTGGTTAGCATCTCGGGTGTAACTCATTCCAAGACCAAACATGGCAGGAGACCTCGCCAGGACATCGTTTTGGAGGATGCAAGGTACATTTGATCCCCTGTAATCCTGTTTTAATCATTTAGTTATTTGTTTCTTTACACACATTTGTATGCCTGTTCATGCTGCAATTCCTCATACTTCCATTATTCCGGTTAGTGCACCTTTGGGGTCTGATGCAAGACTGGTAGCAATGAACTAATGCAATTCCTCTACATTGTGGTGCTTGCTGTTCAGTTTATACCGGTGGATGCTTCCTACTCTTTTGTGTTGTCAGCTCACCTGTGAATATTCCCCCATAGAAAGGATACTGTCGCAGTCCCTCTGTGTGATTTTGTTTGTTGATTTCGGTTGTTAGTGTGCCCAGGTTGTTGTAGAGGGATGACAACTACTTTTGGACGTTTGGTGGTTGTGATAAATTCTCTCCATACTAAGCTGCAGTTTGTTCATCCACCTTTAAGAAACCTCCAAATTTGCAGTTAAAAAGATTCATGCCATTTGTAACCTGTATCAACAACTTCCCATCGTCAACTTCAGAGAGACGAAGCTGCTATTGATTAATGCATGGAAATTATTTGTCATTAGAGTACCAACAACCAGTTTTATGCAGCCTTGATTTGATTGTTCTGTTTTTGGGTTCACTTCACCCTTCTATTACAGAGACCAAAATTCCAAATAGCCTGAACATCACAAGGTTTAAACTACAATGATGAAATATCAAAGGTTAGATAAATAAATAACTAAGATTGGTAGGATTTTGCAAGGTAAGCAGTGATGCGCATCTGAAACTTGGTTACGTTGCTTTTTGTTGTTTCTGCATTTGTCATTTTTCAAAGGTTAACGTGAGTTGAGACTAATATGGATCCCAAAGTAGTTATGAAACCTCATTATGTATGCTATTTGCCCCTTTTAGGTGTTCCCTTTACACACAACCAAAATACGTGCCATTACCGCTACTCCTTCACTGTCTTCCCTGAATCTTAGTTTCACTGCTGAAGGCTCTTTCCTTGCGCATGTATACCTCCTTGCTTCTGTTCACAGTTGCGCTTTGCCACGCTATCCTGTTTCTTGCAGTTTAACTCAGGTCAAGGTGGCGTTGTGGGGTCCACTTGCAGGATCCATTGATGCTCTACGCCTTGAACGATTGGGTCGCAAAAAACCTGTGATCCTTGCAGTGAGTGCTCTCACTGTAACGGAGTTCCGGGGTTCGTTACATACTCCCTTTCCGTTCAGATTCATTTGAAAACACTACTGCAGTATTTATTCTTATTCCACTCATACTATCTACTCTCTTTTCTTGCTTTAGGTACCTACTCTCTTTCTAATACCTCTGCAACTCGCCATGCTGTCGAACCTGTTTCTGAACAGACTTACGAACTCCAAAGCGTGTATGCCTACTTCCTGTTCTCTCCTTTATGCCTATTCCTTAAGAAATTAAAATGCTTTACTTTTGTGTAAACAGCTTCCATGCCATGCGGGACAGTGTGACATATGTGCCTCCTCAATTCCCTACCGCTATAGCTGCCGTTGAATTTGAAGCACAATCCACTCGCACCGTGAAAGAACTACTTCGACTAGCTTCACTTGGCCAGCCTGATGTAATACGCTTGCTAACCGATTCGTTTTTTAACTCTTTCCATGAGTTGAAGGCCTCTCTAATACCCTTATTGTTTACCAGGAAACTCAATACCATTGCCCTGCTACTGTTCTTGGTATTGATTCTACCAAACAATGGTACTACATAGGCTGCTCATTCTGCTCATCTGCCACATCGGTCTATGGAACTGCACACTGGTGTAAGTGGCATCGCCGCGTGGAAACTTCTGAAGTCACGTTCTGGTATTACTCTTCGAACTCCTTCTCCAAAACTCTTTATTTATTATCTGACTCCCTTATAAGTCTTTATCCAAACGGGAATTTACAGCTATAGGGTCAACTTGATTGTCGATGACTCAACTGCAACTGCCAACTTTATTCTGCTTGGAAAGACTGCTGAAATCCTCTTTGGTGCCACTGCTTCTGATCTGGCCGAGCGGTTCCAGTTTGGTCGCTCCGAAATGCCACCAAATATATTGGCCATACAAGACCAGCGACTCTCCTTCGATGTACAACTCCCTGATGCAGACTTCTTGGGAACCGGCACTCCTGAATTCCGTGTGGTCCACTCATACATCATAGATTCTCCTGTCCCATCACTTTTGCATCAACCGTTTTCAACTCCAAAGCGTCCGGTTCTTCCCCCGCTTATGCAAGGCTCCTCCTCTCACAGGTCACATAACCAACTCCCAGTAACACAGTTACCTTCCTGAATTTCTGCTTTGTGGTTACTGCATGCAAGCGTTTTGGTTAAATCCCCCTGTTATGTCCAATGTTCCAGGCACCTTGCTGCCCACCATGGTACCAACTCACCAAAAAAAACTGCTGCCACCTCTTCTCCACGAACTCCCTCAAAGGCTGCAACCTTGCGGTACTGCCTACCTAACGGTTTTTTTTGTTGCTGTTCCAATCTTCAGTTTCATAACTAACTTCTACTGCTGCACTGCTGTGTCTTACACTCCGGTCCAAATTCAATTTCCAGCCCTTATCCGATGCCGGATATCACTCCTGAATCTGCCATTTCACCAAAAGACCGGTTGAGGTGACTCCTTTATGATTCCTTTGTACTTTCATCGTTTCTTTTATAAACACATCTTTAGAATTTCCTTTCTAAATCCCACAGGATACTTGCAAAAGGAAAGTCGCTTGCAAATGCTTCACCTTTGCACGCTGCGCACAGGTATATCATCATTGCACCACACATACACGTTTGACTACGTGACTGCTTTACGAGTTGTGAGGTTCCCTCTTTAACTTCTAATGCTGCACTACTTTGCCCTGCACTCTGCCAAAAAACAATTGCCAGCCCTTCTCAGTTGGCTGCTATCACTCATGAATCTGCCATTTCGCCCAGAGAACGATTGAGGTAACTGTTCTATGATTCATTTGCATTTATCATTATTTCTTTGGTCAGCACACCTTCAGATTTTGTGTCCTACATGCACCAGGATGCTTGCAAAGGGAAAGTCAGTTGCAGATGCTCCGACTTTACACGCTGCTCACAGGTATCCCAGCATTACACCACACCTACGATTTTACTTCGTACTACTTTATACCACAAGGACATTGCCTCTTTAACTTTGCTATCTACATGCGGGATGTGTTGGCAGGGGACCTTCACCACTGTCTGAGTGCCTTCCTACCCACTCTTCTTCTCCAACAATATCACCTGAAGACTCAGACTCTGAAGGCGCCCCCGCAACTGGATCCATTCCCCTTGAACCAGGAAAGTCGCAAGTTTCTACAGGAATTGGGAAAAGGTAGTCCCTTTCAACTCAACATGGATTTGTATCACATCAATTGTTTCTAACGCTAACAGCATAACAAAACAAACAACAGGTCTCCCACCAAAGCAACCAAGCGCGGAACGCCACGGCGCCGACTTACATGTTCGGGTCACGACATTGGCATTGCGTCACCTCCAAGGTTGCATTCCCAAACTAAAAGTTCATCTCTAAGCCAATTTGATGCAACCCCTTTGCTTTGCCCACGTGCTCTCAAAGTTACATCCAACCTGGCTCTGGTGATACATTCTATCTCCGACATCTACTGACAAAGATCCGTGGTGCTCAAAGCTTCAAAGATCTTCGAACTGTCAACGGAGTTGTTTGTAAAAATTTCCAAACAGCATGCCAAAAAATGGGACTACTTGCAGATGATGATGAGTGGCTTTTGGTGTTGACAGAAGTTGGGCAGTGGGGAATGTCCAAATTGCTCAGGTATCTCTTCATTTCAATGCTAATGTTCTGCCAACTCTCTGACCCTCATACTTTATTTGCTAAGACATGGCAAATGCTAGCAGAAGACATTACATATAAATGCCAAAAGAATGCTAGATTCAGTGGTGAATTAATGGCTACTGAACTCCCTAAAGACATATTATTGCATGAGTTGCAAAGGATGCTTGATGCTTATTCAAGTTCCTTGCAACACTTTGGACTTCCACTTCCGACAACACAAGTACACAATTTCCACACATATTGCTCAACACAATTTGGGAACCAGGAAGCATCATCATCAAACAGCTCAGAACAGCCCCCTGTCTATAGAGATTTAAATCAACACCAAGCAGATGCATTTGATAAGATTCTCGCATCTGTCTCAGGTGGGAGGGACACGTTTTTCTTCTTATATGGCCATGGAGGAACAGGCAAGACATTCCTGTATAAAACTCTTGCTGCTGCAATGGATGAGCTTAATCTCAAGGTCCTTATTGTCGCATCTTCTGGAATTGCTGCTACGTTGTTGCCAAAAGCAGCCACCGCACATTCAAAATTCAAAATTCCTTTGGAAATTGATCAGAACTCAACATGTAGCGTACATAAAGGTACACAACTTGCACACTCATTGGCTGAAGCAGATCTTATTATATGGGATGAGGCTCCTATGATCCACCGATTGGCATTTGAGGCCGTTGATAGAACTCTCTATGATATAATGAATGTGCCTTTCACGGGAGAAGGGTATAAACCATTTGGCGGCAAAACTGTTCTGTTGGGAGGAGATTTCAGGCAAACACTGCCAGTAGTACCAAATGCAGGTAGAGAAGAAAGTGTTGATTCTTCTCTAACGCGATCATATCTTTGGAAGCATTGTACTGTGCTGCATCTGTCCAAAAATATGCGCATCACAGCATCACCTCTTAGCCAGCAACCAACATTTGGTAATATGGCTTTTGCCGATTGGACATTAGCCGTAGGCAATGGAGAGATCCCTGCTACAAGCTTCAACAAGAACCAACCTGCAGACTGGATTTCCATACCACCGTGTTTTCTTCTTGATCCAGGCTCTCAACCGATAGCAACAATATGTGATGCGATATACTCAGACTTCTCAACAAATTACCACCATGCAGGTTACCTGACAGCCAGAGCAATTGTAACTCCAACAAACAAGAATGTCACTGAGATTAACAAACACATGCTGAACAGGGTGCGAGGAAGGATTCACAGTTACTTCAGTGCAGACACAATCCACTCAGATTCAAAAGATTCTGCAAGGCTTGAGGTTGAGTACCCTACTGAATTCCTTAACACATTGGCTTTTAGTGGCTTTCCAGATCATGAAATTGAACTGAAAATTTTTTCACCAGTGATGTTGCTTAGAAACCTAAACCCAGAAATAGGTTTGTGCAATGGCACTCGAATAATGGTCACCTACCTAACAACTTATGTGATCAAAGGACTCATCATGGGTGGTGCATATGCTGGAAATGTTGTTGCAATACCTAGAATTGTTGTCGACATCAATAATCAGAAGTGGCCTTTCGTGCTAAGACGCAGACAGTTCCCGATAAGACTTTGCTATGCAATGACCATCAACAAGAGTCAGGGACAGACTTTGGACCGTGTTGGAGTCTTTCTCCCAAAGCCGGTTTTCAGCCATGGCCAGCTGTATGTTGCTATCTCAAGGGTTAGGTCTGCTGAAGGTTTGAAATTTCTTATTCAAAATGAAGAGCATGTGCCTCTGGGGTATACAAGGAACATTGTATACAGTGAAACGTTTGATTCACTGGGCGGTGCATCGCTGTGTATACCTCCATCTACTGTTAGGTTCGCTTCTGAAATCCCGCATCCCTGATTTCATAGCATCAGTTAATGCTTGCTGGTACAGATTTAGCAAATCCATGCATACTGCTGCATTTCAATGCTCGAGCTAAGCCTTAAATATGTTGCAGTTGAATGGCTACGCAGAAGAGGGATGGATGGACTTTTAACCATTTTGTGCATGTGCATGAATTGTTCAGTAGCTTCAGGTATTAAGTTCTTTCCATGTATGATTAATTCTTTATTGTCAGAGACCTTAACCCTTAAGTACGGTTTCCAAATTACTTTATAATAGAAACAGATTTGAACATGTATTCATGGTTTCAACCCTTTTGAGTCAGAATCACCAAGCATTTTTTTTGCTTAATCTTTAGTTTGCACACTATGCATTCAGTTCCTATAATGTTGATGTTTGCGTATCTAGGGGTGTTTAGCTGCATTCTGCTATGTTAACCTTGATTAACATCAGATGAAGAAACCTCACAGCTTACAGGTCTGAGGTTGTTATCATGATGGTTTGTCTCCAGTCATTCAATTTGAACCACATTGTGCTGCAAATAAGTCCTGCAATTTCGGTAGGGTCTCATTTTGAACAATATAGTAGTGGCCTATTATGGATGCATGCATGGAGGGTTGGTTTCCAAATATTAACATAGCTAAAATAGAAATCTCGCTTGCTGTTATGTGCACTTTAACTTTGTTGCTTCCTAAAATCTTCCCCGAGACTTTCAGGCCTATTAGGATGCACTAAAATAGCTAGGGACTCGACTATGGTGCCATGCTAAATGGCTCAGTTTCTATGCCGTCCAGCATTTACAGCTTATGGTTATGGTCATGTAATCATGTAATCATATATCGTCAAGCACCTGCTGCATATTCTTTTCACATTCCTTATCAAATTACAAAGTCCATATTTTTATTTCAAGGAATTTAACATTTGTGTTTGGCTACTTTTGAAAGTTCAATAATCTCAATTTGCTGGTTGTCTTATTTATATTATGCAGATCTGTTTTGATTAGCACCAGGTGTAGAAAAGACAGCAGGCAGAAAGAAAATAGATTTAGACTTCTATTGGAAGTGTGAAGTATCATTTGGTGTTTGCAGGTCAGAAATGATAGGCAAATCTTAAATTGTTCCATAGCCTCTCATTTTCTATGAGTAAGAATTCTTTAAGCATTTACAGTTGTTCTTTTACACTTTCCAGGACATGAGGAACTCAAACTTGTGGGAACAAACCAGAAGGCCACACTATTGTCGATCTTGGTAATCAATTCCTGCACTAACTCTTACAGCCAAAGCATTGGGTTTGCTATTGTGTATTGTGCTCATAAACTGTCAAACCACAGGAACCTGAAGCCTCGATACTTGAAGACTGCTTTGCACAACTAGACATCTTGCGTTTTAATGCATTTGTTGCTGGTTCCTCAGCATAATGTAACTCAACTTTCTCAACTGCAGATTATTTTGTTAGCAGTCTTAGCTGTTCTTTGGGTTCCTTTAAAGTAAGGCAGTAATATTGTTTGTCGACAAGGCTTTCGATTGAAACATTTAGAAGGAAAAATTGTATGTTTCCAGCCACTGAGTAGCTCTTACCTTCATTCCCCAAACTGGACAAGTATATTGTTTTCTTTAAAGGAACCTGCTGCCATTTCATTCAAGAGACATTGAATATTGTTGAAACATTGGCCCAAACACATTAAGCAACCATTTACTGGCCGGGACAAACAAGCCCATTAACATGAAGCCCATTACAAATGTTTCAACGTTTTGCCCTTGGCTGACCTGCCTTCGCCGCATGGTCGGCTACCCTAAAACCCCTGCTACCTTCCAAGACGAAGACCTAGCACACCTTCGATTTCCTCCGGACCGCCCAATCATTCGTCGCCGGAATCGGATCCCCGCATGAGTTGGTGCTTAATAGACTTAATTATCGGTGAAAATAGGTTCAGGACAAATCCGTGATAAGTATACTTCAAAATCTAAGCAAAATGACATAAAAAATAGCGCAAAAAATTACGAAATCACCCTCTGAAAAACTTCCACCCAAATCAGCGACAAATAGACTTCATCGTCAGTAGATAAGAGACTCAGGCCGAATCCGTGATCTGTAACTTTCAAAGTCCAAGGAAAATGAGCTTTCAAAAAAATCGCCTGAAATCTGTGATAGTACCCCTTTGGAATCTGTAAAAATGGACCCGGGAAAAATCCGCTCAAATAAATGTTTAATAGACTTAATCATCAGTGAAGATTAGCCTCAGGCCAAATTCGTCATCAGTAGCCTTCAAAATCAAAGGAAAATGGCCTTTAGAAAATTTGGCGAAACATTTACGAAAACACCGTCTCAAAAAATTCTGCATAAATGGACAATAAATAGACTTCATAATCGGGGGACAACGGCTTCCTTCCGAATCTGTGATGTGTAACCTTCAAAATCTAAGGAAAATGAGCTTTCCAAAAAATCGCTTGAAATCTGTGATAGTACTCATTAGGAATCTGTAAAAAATGTATCTAAAAAAATCTGTTCTAATCGGTGCTTAATAGACCTAATTATGGGTGAAGAATAGCCACAGACCGAATCCGTGATTTGTAATCTTCAAAATTCAAGGAAAATGGTCTTTTGAAAAAATTGGTGAAGAATAGCCACAGACCTAATTATCACTGAAAACTGTGATGGTATCCGGAAATTTTTTGCCCAAATCGGTGCTTAATAGACTTATCATTGGTGAAAAATAACCTCAGGCCAAATCCGTTATGTGTAGCATTCAAAATCCAAGAAAAATGACATTTCGAAAAAATCGCTCAAGAAATCACGAAAATGCCCTCTAAAATATTTCGCTCAAATCGGCGATAAATAGAATTTATCATCGAGAACAGTCTCAGGTCGAATCCGTGATCTATAACTTTCAAAATCCAACGAAAATTGACTTTCTCTCGAAATCTGTGATGATATACAGTCCTTTGGAATCTGTCAAAAATTATCCGAAAAAAATCCGCCGAAATCAGTGCTTAATAGACTTAATCATCGATGAACAATAGTATCAAGCCGAATCCGTAATATGTAATCTTCAAAATACAAAAGAAAAATGGCAAACGTATTGTACGGCTAATGAAAGTGAGGTATAATTTATGTTGGGCCAGTCTAACTCCATTTCTACTTGTCATAGAACACATAAGAGAATCGCGAGTTCAGTGTAATTGTTGTTAGGGTTATAGTATAATATGCCCCTCTATTATGACGTTTTATCAAACATGCCCCTTTATTATTTTTTATATCAAACATGCCCCTGTATTTTGAAAAAATTATCAAACATGCCCTTCTGTTAAAATTCTATTAAAAAAACGTCAATCATGGTTGAATCGAGATTTAGACAAACCGACATCGGCAAATGGGAGCGAAAATGTCAGTTTTGTCTCCCGTTTTATTTCTCTGGGTCTATTCAAAGTGAAATTATTCGAATTATTTGGCTATAAAAAAGAACTAAAAAAATTCTAAAGTGAAATAATTAGGAATATTTTAGACATTTGTGTCGCCCAAACCAAAGTTCAACCTTGGTTAACGTTTTGTTGGATGAAAATTTAAATAAAAGGGCATGTTTGATCATTTTTACAAAATACAGTGGCATGTTTGATATAAAAATAGTAGAAGTACATGTTTGATAAAACGTCATAGTAGAGGGACATATTATATCTATAACCTTGTTGTTACTACTTCGAAGCCATTGTCGTCTAACCAACAAGGCAACAACAAGCGAGGGTTGCTCTCTTTTCTTGGCAGAGCTGGTTCATGCTTCTGCGACCCTTTCTTTGATCAATTTATCTTTGAAATAATGCTCTCCTAGATGATTTTTTTATGGTGTTTAGCTCACTAGTTCTGTTTTGTGGTGTCCCTCAGGTTGCGCTTCGGACGCTTGTCGCTAAGGATACATGGCCTGCATTAATTTGGATGAATTCCAAAGTACATATATTTTTAAAAAACATACTCAAAATACACACGTTATAAAAAAATTCCCAAAATACACATGTTTGGGCATCACCGCTGTTGTCAACCTCAGTGAATGCATTCACCGCGGCAGACCAAAGTGGTGAATGCATCACCGCGGTTGACAGCCGCGGGGAATGCCTGACTTAACACTGAAATTTCAAACAAAAGTAACTTTGCGCTCGGTTATCCGATTGTAGCGAAATTTTTTTGATTCCATATAACTTTTCAAGATCTTTCAATCTGCAAGAAGAATCCATCTAAAAAAATGTCGTTTGTTACCCCGAACGAGCAATTTTTTTATTTTGTCAAACTTTGGAAGGACATAACTTTTAGCTCCTCAATCCGAACGTCGTAAAGATTTTTTTTATTGCGCATAACTTTTTAAGAACTACAACTTTTACTAGGAAATAATTTTTAAAAAGAGAAGTATTTTTGGGTATACGGGATTTTGGGAATAACTTTGCCTTTACTTTTCACAAATCCACATACTTTTCAAAATTATTGTTATAATAAAGTTGTAGTACATCAAAATTTATGTAAAATCAAAAAAAGTTTCATGACATTCGGATTTGGAGCACAAAGTTATGATCTTTCAAAGTTTGTCAAAATCAAAAAAATTGCTCGTTCGGGTTAGCAAATGATTTTTTTTAGATGAAGTCTTGTTTCAGATTGAAATATCTTGAAAAGTTATGTGGAATAAAAAAAAATTCGCTACAATCGGATAACCGAGCGCAAAGTTACGTTTGTTTGAAATTTCAGTGTTACGTTATGCATTCACCGCGGCCGTCAACCGCGGTGAATGCATTCACTGCGGTTGACAACAGCGGTGATGCCCAAACATGTGTATTTTGGAAAAAAAATTATAACATGTGTATTTTGGAATTTTTTTTAAAAAACATGTGTATTTTGGGATATTTTCCCTGTTAACTTTTTTGATGAAGGTGAAAATTGCATTGAAAAGAGAAGAGTCTGATACAAATAGGCACCAGGAGTGCCAACAAAAGAAAGAGACGCAGAAGAAAAGGAAGGAAGAAAGAATGAAAGACAAAAGA